CAGGGGAAATCCCGGAGGCCCCCATTGCTGGCAACTCCTGGCCCAGCAGCCCAGGCCGAGCTGGGGAAACGGACCCCCAGTTGCAAAGGCCCCTGTGTGGAAGGTGATTCTTCCTCTGGTCCCCCCAGCCTTTAGACGCTCTGGCCAGGATAGAAGACAGCCCCCAACACACACACACACACACACACACTTATACCCTGCAGTCTAGGTCTGGGGGCTCCTGGGTGTCCTTGGCGATGATTAATAATTGCTTCCTGCCCAGGGATTATCAGCCCCAATCCGGTTGTCATGATCTGATCAATGGCTCTTTGTCCTTGCCTGGCACAGTGTAAGCGCTCAGTAAACACTGCGCCCTGGGCCCAGGCCAGGAGGGACCACCTTCCTGCGGCCTGGCTGCCTCCTGGCGAGAAGCCTCCCTGGTGACGTCCCCTCCCCAACCGGGCTGCAGCTGCCCGTGTGGCCGGCACTAGTGGGGGTGTTGTCGTTGACGTGCTGGACTCCCACATGGCTGATTGCGGTTCGAGTCCTGGACCTGGCGGCTTGAAAATCACACTGGGCACATGTGCAGGTGTGCCCAGGATACCAGGAGGAGATTGGAGGAGAGGGGATTGAGGCGTGGCCACACCCCACGGGGGTGATTTCTCACTTTCTCTCATTATCTGTCTATGTGTACGTGAAAAGAAAAGAAAGGAGGTGGAACACCCCTAGCAAATGCTAGAAAAGGCCGCCAGTCCATTTTGTAGGTGCAGACACCAGGGAAGCCCCCTTTCAGGCATCTCATGATGAGGAAGGGGCAGAGGCCAGCCTGGCCGGTAGCTCCAGAGGCCATGTGGGCAGGACGCAGTGGCTCTTCAGACCCCACTGTCTTTTGTTTCCTTCTTTTTTCTTTCTAGTTTATTTCTTCCATGAAAGAGAGAGACAGAAAAAGACAGAGACAGGCATCCCAAAGGGGTCTTATGCCGAGATCGTCCCAGCTCAGCCAGCTGCGAGCATGCGTGTGCGTGTGAGTGCGTGTGCATAGGCAGCCTCAGTGACTCCATGAATGGAGACGTCCCATGCGGGCCCAGCAGCCCAGAGGTTCGCGTTAGCACTGAGCCACCAGCTGGCCCCTCTGCCCCCTTGTCCCCTGCCCTCACACGCAGTCCAGAGCCGGCTCTGCAGACTGGCACGTCGCCTACCTCGTCTGATCCCAGGAGTTCACAAGTTCACATAGCTAATGTTTCCAGACTGCCTGCTCCCAGCAGCCCTTAGGGAGTCGGCTGAGATGAGATGACCTCTCAGTCCTCGCAGGGCACACCCCCCAGGGTGGGGATCAGTGGCGTGGACCATGTTGAACTGGCACTGTCAGCAGAGCGAGCTGGCGGCTGGTCCTCCGCAGCCCCAGGCAAGCCCTTCCTCCCTGCCTCGGTTTGTCCATATATAAAATGGGTGTGCGATAGGCCTCCTCCGGTGGGGAGTGGGAGAGCGACGCATGCAGCATGTCCACGCACAGCAGCCCCGTGGGAGCCTGAGGCAGTATCGTAGGTGGGCGGCCATGTCTGTTCTCTTGTTTGCACCCCATGACCGTTTTCCTGGACGGGTTACTGGTGGCCCCGACTCCAGTAGTGCTGACCGAGACCTGCACGTCCCCTCCTCCGGGTCTCACTCAGACATCCCATGAACAGGCCTTGGGAACGGAGTCCTTGCACTGTGCCTCAGGCCCTGATGCAGTGCTTTGGGAGTGCCTTCTGGGTGGGGGTTCCCTTAGTCACTAGCCACGGGACCTCTCTGAGCCTCAGCGTTGCCATCTGTAAATGGAGCGGTAGTTGTACCTACCTCCTAGGGCTATCGCGAAGCCTGCGAGAGTCAGTTTGCAAACATGGTTTGGAAAATGCCTGACATGTACAGTAAGTGCTCAGTGGCCATCTCTGTTCTTATGGGGGGATTGCCATTGGGGCATGGTGAGGAGTGAGGCCTCTGCTGGGCAGTGAGGGAGCTTGGCGTGGGCCCAGCCGTTCTGAGGAAGACCTTGCTGGGGTTGGGCCCTGTAATCAGGCTCCAAGACTCTGACGTAAAGGGCTAGACAGGGACAGGCAGGACGGGCAGAGACGGGCACGGACAGAGGCCCAGAGGCAGGGTGGCCCAGGGCAGGTGGTTGCTGGTTGATGGCCACTGCCATGGGCCTGCAGGAGAGCAGGGGGCTGCAGGTCCACCAGCTTATGCATTGACACATTCATTCATCTGGCAGACATTCATGGAGCACCTGCCATATGCCAGGGACAGAGGGGGAGCAGACTAGGAGTCCTGGCCTCGTGGGGAGTCGTTAACGAATTATCAGTGCTGTGGAATGGTAGCATGTGACTGGCGTGCTGGCCAGCTCTGAGACGGCTTCTCTCGTATGTGTTTGGAACAGGCAGGGCAGGGGTCAGTGCTGTGTGCTGGGGTAGGTCACACAGGGTCATGCAGGTGGGGCACAGCTGATCTAGAATTGGCTCTCTGGGCACCCCCATGCCAAGGGCAGTGGCTTCACCTGTATCCAGGCCTGGGGGGTGGAGCAAGGCCCTCCCCCTTCAGCCACAGACAGAACATGGTGGCAGACATGGCCCCTACCCCCTTTCCTTGCTCACAGCTTTTCCTTAATCCTACAACATGCAAAGTGCCTACTGTGTGCAGGTGCCGAGGCCCCTGTGATGTGCACGTCAACTGCAGTGTGCAGAGCACTCTCCTGGCGGGCGCAGAGGCACCTACTTGTGCTGTCAGGGGTGTCCTGGAGTGTGGTCGGGGTGTGGGGGACCCTGCCATGCCACTGCCCTGGTAGAATGCCCAGTTTGACGGGGCCACAGAAGAGGTGCCCACAGAGTGGGATGTGGCAGAAGGAACTCCATGTTTGGGTGTCGGTCTCTACTATACCCTGAGCCCTCTTTGAAGGATTCCCTCTAACGAGGCCACACCTCAGGAGGTGGACACGTGCTGCTACCTGCTTGACTGAAGAGGACACTGAGGTTCAGAGAGGGCCAGGCAGAGGCAACAGAGCCAGTGCTGCGAGGCCGGGCGAGCAGGGACTTCCGTCTGGCTTGCTCATTTCACCCCAGGCTCTAGCACACTCCCTGGCACATGGCGGGCCCTCGGTAGTACCACGGGCTAGGAGGGGATGAGGCAGTGGGCGGGTGGAGTGTGTCCCCTGGCCCCATGTGGCTCTGCAGCCTGTGCCCCACACCACCACCAGGGAGGGCCCTGGGGCAGCCCCTGCATCTGGGTCACTTCTCAGGACGCCTGTGTGCCTGGCTTTGTGCTGGGATGGGCGGGCACTTCTCACCCTCACTCCTGCGGAGCGGGGGGGGGATAGTGGTCCCAGGGCGCCAGCCTGGACTTGGGAGGAAGGCAGGATGGCCCTGACAAGTAACCACAGAGGGCTGAGCCATTTGGCGCCGAGGACAGCAGAGGGGGCTTAGTGCCATTTTGATGATCTTGGGCATAAGGCAAGCCCCTTGGGGTATAGGAGAGGGGAGCCCTGGTCGGGCTGGGCAGAGTCTGCTGGTCCTGAGTCCCCTCAGAGCAAGAAATACCTTTGCAGCCCTTGTGAGCCTTACTAACCTACTCTTTTATTTATTACTTTATTTGTACAGACACCAATAGCATTCCCCCCCGTAACATTTACATAGCAATAACAGCAGGCAGCCCTTCCCTGGATCTGATTAACTCACTTAATCCTCATGATGCTCCTGTGTGGTAGAACCACCACAGTCCCCATTTTACAGATGGTGAAACTGAGGCAGAGAAGTCGGGTAACTCAGGGCGACACAGCCAAGGCTATCGGCAGGGCCCTGGATCTGTGCTCTTAACCACAGTTTCTTTCTTTTCTTTTTTTTTTGGAGAGATTTTCACTGTAGGGCGTGTGCGCTTGCCAGAGAGAGACATAGAGACAGAAAGCGAGAAATC